TCCTTGATTATATTATCCTCCTTATATTGGAAAAGAACCCTAGGTAGTCTGGCCTATGTAACAAGCTTGACAATCGCGTCTAAATCCTTAAAACCTGTGGTTTACCTTTCCAGATGAAGGATTTGACCCCTGACATACCATGGTCAATTCCTCATGACAAACATTAGATCATCCACATCCGTAAACACCACTGTGAACCATCTTCTACCAAAATGATCAAGGTAGAAGGTATTTTTTACTTCATTTCTCCATAATAAGCCAAGCTTCCACTTAATCAATCTTACTTCCAAAGGCTACCCAAACATCTTCCCTATCAGCATTCTAGATTGCATGTGCTGAACATTGATTGATGAGCACAAGTTAGTATTCACCCTAGTCACAGCTTTCTCTATGGTGAAAGTACTCCTAGCCTTTTCAACAACCACAGGTTCCTGCCCAGGTTGAGGAACCGGGAAGGGGTTCTCCCAACTAGGCATATAGGAATCAGAACAAATCCTAGGCCTAAGGGCCAAGCTTGAATTAGAGGCAGCCATGTGAGAGTTAGACATGTTAAAGACAGATGATGAGAAGAAATTAAAAGGCAGGGAAACAGGTGAAGGCCAAAGGCACCACCAAAACCTGCATAAATAGCCCAACGTTTGGGGGAATCCAACCATCAAAACACACTAGCGGAATAAAAATCTCATTACCAAACTATTCAAACGAGGAAGCTCAAAGGTAATAATTGTAAAACTCACACAGTTAATGGCCCTAGATCTATCCCCCAAATTAAAAGCTAATAAAAAACTATCTTGTGTGCACAGAAACTACTTAGATAAAATGACCAACACCAAATGAGAGCTTAATCGTCTCCAAACAGAGTAACAAAAACAATTACCACACTAGAACCAGATCATCAATGGCGTCATGTAATAATCAAAGAGGCACGTTAAAACCCTAACCGTCACAAACCCGAGCCTTAAACCTAGGGTAGCCATATCGTCCCAGAAACAGAGAACCATACAAATACAAACACAATCAATCAAGTCTAAATTCGCCCAATCAGCAAACCACAAAAGCAACATACTAGCCACGAAACAACTCCTCAGAAAACCACAAAACGTGTGAAAAATACGAAACTATCTTACACAACTTACGTGAAGAGGATGCAGAAACTTAAGAGCTTTCCCCAGAAGCACTAGCCACTCATACGAACTCCAATTAACATTGTTCCCTAAACGATTTAACACCTTAATTATCGCAGCCCTAGTTAACGAAACCCTAATTATCCTTTCAAGATTCAACCTAACCCTCTCAATAAGCAAACAAGCAATAACTCGAACTGAATCAACCCAAATCTTCTCACAAACCTTGCTTGAATCAGCAGATTTCGATTCCCACATGCGCGAACGATGCAACGCACAGAGAAACCCTAGAGCCTTCCTCATTTATCTACTGTTACTTATCAGCTGGTGGATTTTTTGAATTATAGTAAAAAAGTAGGGGAGTAGGAAAGACTTCATTAAACTAATGGCAATTGGCATGTTTGAATCATTGTCATCCCGGCATATTTCGCGTTTTACTAACGCACAAGTTATGGAAAAGTAAATGGCTCCTACGTCGAAATTAGTTATGCCAGACCTAATTTCCCTTACCAAGTAAACATCCTCGAGCAAACATTTGGAACAGAATTGTAGACTTTGGCCCTTGGGTTTCATTTGAATTCCTAGAGATTGCCAGCAAATTTAAGCCGATATGGCAGTTTGCTCTGCGTAAACATGATATGAAGCAACAAGGTTTTACTTTTCATTGGAAATGAAGCTTTCTAGAATGCTATCCGCAAGAAAGCTTGATGGTTTTTTATTTATTTATTTATTTATTTGATATTCGGGAGGTGTGTAATTACCTGAGATGAAAGCACAACAATTTTGCTTTTTGATTTTTTTGGGAAAACTTTTTAAGGGTGTACTTTCATGTCAATTTTTTATTACAATTATTATAAATTTTTTTAAAATGACTATAATTCTATATGTTATCTAAATTTTGTTTATTTTTTCAAATTTCCTGATTTATTCTTCAACAAATCGTCAAAAGCTCCATTAATTTTAACAATTTTATGTGTTTTGCAGCTTTATATTGGGGAAGCTCTCCCATTCACTCCTTAAAAAAAAAAATTAACAATAGAATAGAACAAATTCATAACATCTTGAAGACTCTTTTAAGTCTTAACATTTTTATGTTAATTTGGTGTATTGAATCTTGACCTTGAATTGTAATTGAACTTACCTCTGCCTTTGTCCTTATAATTGTTGCTTCTGTATCCACCATTGTAGCCACCATTGTAGTTTTATGAACCACTATTATAGCTATTTTGATTTCCAAAGAAATAGCCTTGACTGTTTGAGTTGTTAGGTTGATTTGATCTACCCTCAAAAGATGAACCGCAGTTACTTAAATCGATAGAACTAGAATCAAGAACTAATGTTTTCCCTTTTGAAGCATGAGTGCATGTCATCATTGCAGTTCCAAAAGACATATTGGATTCCAGTGACTGATTAATAGTTGCTTCTTCAGGAAGCAACTAAGATAGAAAATCTTTGATGGAGATATCATTTTCCCTTCCTTTAATAACACATTTAAATGTGTTGTATTCTGCAATAAGTCCCTTGAGAGCAAGAATGATGATATCATCATCTTCAAAGATAACTCCAGCTGCTGTAGGACGGTCTCTTGCATCTTTAATCTTCTGCAGGTACTTACAAATTGAGCCAGACCCTTTCTTGATGTTCTAAAGCTTAATCTTTAACTTAAAGATACTTGTTTTAGTCATACGTGAAAACCTTTCCTTGAGATTCACGCACATTTCATTAGAACTTGTACTAGCAATGATACAAGATACTGATGTTCATGATGAAGTTGCAGTAATGAGTTGCATGATTGCACGATCGTGCATTTTCCAAACTTGGTAGGCATATGTCTCCACTTCTTCGACAATTGAATCATTGACAAATCTTGTTGGACATTTCTTGGTGCCATCCATGAATTCCAGAATTCCATGGCCTTCAAGAAGCAATTTAATCTGAAAGCTCCAAGTTAAGTAATTGGTGGCATCGAATTTCACTGTAAAGGATGTTGATACTATTGGAATAAGGTTGGTGATTGGTGACAGAACAATTTGTAGTTGCGCTGGTGTAACCATCTATGTAGAAAGGGAGAAATTTCTTCACTGATGCTTTTAATCAAATAGTTGATCTTCGTGACAAAGAACTCCAATTTTCTTGTGAATTCGATATGAGATTTGTTCAATTTTATCTTAGAAGTTGTACAAAATAGAGGATTGAGAAGATAAGATAATAGAGATTTCAAGGAGAATGCCGAAGCGTCGAATTGTTTCTTGGTGAGGATACCATGTGAGAACTGAGAAAAATGCAGAAGAAGTTTAGAGAGAGAGAGAGAAAGAGAGAGATGAGCGCTTTGTGAATTGATCTTTCTTGAATACCAAGTAACTGTTTTTACAAAGGGCTTATATACTAAACCATTACAAAGCTTGCTAGTTAAGCTAATACAATGTGTAACCTCCTTACTTCAACAAACTACAATTCTAACAGGCTTGTTAGCCAAAATGGTCCCTGAGATTTGCATACCACATTATTTTGGTCCTTGAGATTTGAAATCAATAGAAATAGTCCTTGAGATTGTCCACCATCAATCATTTTGGTCCTTTTGTGCAAAATTTCTGACATATGTGCCCTCAATTTAATAAACAATTGGCCAAAATGATTTAATAAAAATTAATTCTATTCTTATTTAATGGAGATTTTTCAAGAGATGACCAAAATGATTGATAGTGGACAAACTCAAGGACCAATTCTATTGATTTCAAATCTCATGGACCAAAGTGAGGAGCTATGCAAATCACAGATACCATTTTGGCTAAAAAGTCATTCTAACAACCTACAATCCTGACAACCTTTATATAACAACCCTCCTTATCCATTGACATGTGTCACAATCTTAACCATTGTTTCCTCTTCACTTAGATCACTAGCTTTGATATTCTTACATGATCAAATGAGATCAGATCTAATGGGAAAAAAAAAAAAGACTTGACGGCCCAAAATTAAATTTAACGTCTAAATAATTTAAGAAAATTATTTAAATCAAATTTAACTTGAAATTTGAATACCATGATTTAAACTTGGTTTAGTATAAATCCTATAATTTTTAATTACTTATTGAAATTTGAATATTTTTAGATTAGAATATTCATAAAAATAAATACATAAATTTTATTTTCAATAAAGTTACTGAAAAAAAAAATTTGGCTAAACGATTATTTAATAATCACAGACTAAAATTTTAAACCATAAGGTTTGGAGGAGAAAAACAGTTTCTAGATTATGGCTTAAATTTTTAAGCTTTATTTCTAAGGGTTGAAGCCATGTCCAACCATGGGATAAAGCTTAAAATATAAGCTTTACAACCCCCCAAACCATCTCCAACTATTAGGCTAAAATAAGTCATGGAAAGAAAATATATCTCAATGCTAAATTCCCCCTAAGATTTAAGCTTGTTTTAAATTATTCTGGACCCACCAAACTGTCATATTTTTAACTTTTTTTTTTTAACTTATCATCTAACGGTTGTGATCAAATGAGATCAAATCTAATGGTTAAAAAAAATTGATGGCCCAAATTAAATATAATGTTTATGTATTTGTATGATTTTTAATTACTTATCGGAATTAAAATATTTTTATATTAAAATGCTCATAGAAATAGATTAGGATAATCCACATAAATTTTATTTTCAAAAAAGTTACCAAAAAAAAATTAGGCTAAAATCATATAGGAGAAAAACAATTTCTGAATTATGGCTTAAAAATATTTTGCTTAAATTTTTTAAATTTAAATATTTTTAGATACTACTGTTTGTTAAAATTACTTTTCCTGGATCAAATTTGATTCCCACCAACAATGGTCAAATAACTCGCCTTCTTCATTCACAGTACTAAACAACATACCGCATCCTGGACCTGCTGATTAATCTCAGCCGTCCAAAGATAAAACGACGTCGCTGAGGGGGGCTCGTAGCCGTGAAGGCTGAAACTGCAAACAGGCTATTCCTTGCAAAATAGCAAAACAGAAGCAAAAATGGAGGATGGTCATGGATGAAAGAAGAAGCCCATTCGCCTGAGGCTTTTGCAGGTTCTTTTCTGCGACGTAAAGAAATTGAAGGAGACAAGAATATGGCTCTCAATTACGGCAACGATCACTGGGCATTTCTGGTATAAAATTCATCTTCTTGAACTTACTCTCTCTCTCTCTCCCCCTCGAATTAAGGGTTTTTTTGGGTTGGGAACTTGGGGTTCTTTGCTTTGAAATCTTGGGTTTAGTTTGCTTCTTTTGCAATTTTGAGTTCTAATTGAAATTGGATTTATTGGGTGTAGGAATCTTGTTTGGTTGACAAGAGTATGGCAATTTTTCGTATTTCGATGTTGCAATCGTTATTCGTGTTCGTGTTTACCCTTGTATTTCTTTTTTTTAGCCTACATATTCTTGACAACCAAACATATCCTAATCAAATCTGAAGGTGCATCTTGTTCTTGTGATTAGGATTAACTTGCAATCTCTTTTATTTCATGCAACTTCTCTGGACCTTTAATTTACTTGTTTACATCTCTCTTTGCTGATTGATACAGCAAGAAATCGATGCGCCTCTGTGGGTGGATCTCACTCTTGAAGCCAACTCAACAAACCAATATATGTGGGTTCTAGTATACTCAGAGACAAATATTTTCTTTAATTTTCAGAAATGGTTTATAATTTACAAAGTATATGTGATGTCAATTTCTAATTCTTCTTTTTTGGATTGGATACATTGCAGTGACGATGACTGGTTTTACAGAAGCCATCTGTAAGTATCCTTTGGTCCTTGGATTATGCGGCATTTTCCATTTTGTCTTTGTAATTCATGCTGTCAAATAAGAATGCTGAGTTTTAGTAATGTACTGGAATTATTAGGTTCCACCAATGCTCTTCACGCCAGTTGAAGGCTGCATTTTTGAATTTGGGTGAGGATAGTATGGGCTTAAACTTTGACTTAGTAGGACCATCTTCGCCACAACTTCCGTCTGCTGTCTCTAAGTCAAGAGGCAAAGACTTTGTAAGCAAGAAATGGAGAGGGGAAAACCAAGATTTTACAGATAAGCGGGACCCAGACAAAGTTCTGAGTGGAACATCTTCCTGTGGGAACTCAGGGTCCAGTGATAAGATGAAACGCAAATCAAGCTATATACAGTTGAAAGGAACATCCCGTTCCAAATCAAGTTCAGTTTGTAAAAGCAGTCTAACTGGAAATCACATACCCAATTGCTCTAAGCCAACGTCCTCTGGTGGGGATCCAACATGTAGTTTTAGTTCTGTGACAAACAAGGAAAATGAAAGCAGTACAGCAAGCACCATTACATCTGAGAGTGGTCAGCAGCAACAACAGAAGTTTATGGAGAAATCAAATCCGGCATTGAGTCAAACAAATGGGATATTTTCAGTAATAAAGGCTGGTTTCAGGAAAAGCGGTATTATGAGGACAGCAGCCAGAGTGGAGATTAATTGTGATAGAAGGAAATCAAGAGGCCATAAATCTTCATTCAGCAAGTCTAGTGTGGGATCATCTTCAAATCCTCGTTCAAATGGCAGGACCTCGACATCTACATCAATACGGTACAAAGAAAGATCTCCATATAGCAGGAATGTGGCAAGAATGAGTTATGCAACCAAGAACAGAATAAAACCTTCTAAAGTATCCAAGTTGTCTACGCATAAGAGTGAGAGAGGAACTGCAAACTACATAATTGGACCTAATGTTTCAAAGTCAATCCACACGGAAGCTACAAAACCAAAGGTGAGATGTCACAAATCTGAGACACAGATAATAAGAATTTTCTTGATTGTGATGTATGCATATCTGAAATAATCGCCTACTAGTAAGGGACTTGTCAGTTAGGACTGTACTCTATTTAATTGTGATGTATGCATATTTTATTCTCTCCCTCTTTTCGTAACACATCCCAAAAAGCATTTTTAGGGCCCCATATTTGTTCATGGTTTTCTTGCAATTTATTCCTACTGAATTTGATCTCGATGGGCCACAAGATTGATATTGACATGAATCATACTGTTTGTGTAGGTTCAGTATCAGATTCTGAGAAGGAAACCTTTGGATTCTGTTCTAGTTAAAGAAACTAAACCGGTAACTGCTGTGAAATCTAAGAAGAAACCAGTTGTTGGTGGATCTAACAGATTGGCAGCCCCAGGAAAAGAGAATTTGAAAGGGAGAATCGCTGGGAGTCAGAAATGCAATAACAAAGGCATTGCTCCTGCAACCATGGTTTGGAGTCCGAAGGGGACAAAACAGAGTATTTTGCAAAGGACTGACCAAACGTGACTGGCTGGAAAGGTACATAAGTTAATAGTCGATTATTAGTCCTTTGTAATCGTTTGTATTTGTCAAACAGGATTAGAAAAAAGTTCATCTTTCACTCCTCATGTACCATTTAGCGTAAAAACAATTGTTTTCCCCTTAAGTGTGGTTTGGGAGTGGAGGCTTTTTGGATATTCATCATTGTTTCCACAGCAGAACCAGGGCTAACCTTGTCGTACTTCAAATTTTTAGGTGTTTGCTCCTTTAGGTGCTGACATTAGTCTGACGGATGATCTTGTTAAAGAGTAGAAATTTAGGGGAGGTTGAACCTCATTAGGCTTTTGTATGTGCTGCAATATAGACAGAAAGCATCATGTCTGGGGCAGTGATCTTAGTTGATATTGCTAGGGTACTTGTTATCTGAACATACGCAATCTCTAATTAAATTTTGTGTTAATCCCAATCCATATCCGATTTAGTATAGAGATTGGTGATGAATTGCAGACACTTTCACTTAATAATCTGATAATGTTGAGCTTCTTTTGAGCAGGGGAAAGTCGGCGGTCCAAGCCATTTGGTAAGCCTGAAGGATGTTCCAAAGAGACCCCATTTCAGATGAGAGACCAGTGCAGTCTAGCTGATTTGTATGTATAGGGTAAACCTGATATCACTTCTGACACTGGAGAAAAAGTAGAGTGAAACAGAGTTTAGCCCTCGAATGATCCGAGATTCTTGCTGGCCCAGAGGGTCCTGTATTTCTATGGAAGTTTTTCTTCTGATTGCCATGAGTTGAGGTGATATCTTTCGAGTGGCGCTATTTTCACGCACCTCATGCTAGTTTCGAGTGGCGCTATTCTAATAGTCGTTTAGTATTATGTACATATCTAGTGGAGAAAGCTCTTCTAGATTTCTTTTCATTTGACAAATTGAAAGAGAGAGGGAGTAGGATCTGTAATTCACATCAATTTTGAAAATATTAGAGGTTTCTGTAATGAAATGTTAGACGCGCAAATCGTTTACTTTGAAGGTGTAATACAAGTTGATGTTTTCTTGACTTACAAGCCATCTCAGACAACGGCGTCGTTTCCAGGCTAAAAGAAATCAGATGGATTTTGCGACCACAAATTCCAGCCAACCTGCCCGTTGATACCATGGTTGCTTTGTCTGGTGGCCGGAAACCATGACCGTCACCATGTTCACAATCTCTCACATCATGTATCACTCAATACAGATATGTACAGTACCCGGAAAAGAACATTAACTCGATTTGGAACAAAATCAACTGAAGCGGGCATCCACTCTTGTAACGATCAAATTACATTTTGCGACCCTTCGGAAGGAACATTCAAACAGCTTGAATGTAGACTTCCATCAGAAGCCTCTACGAATGGATTGTCTTTGTCCCAGCTCTGAACTCTTTAGCTCCTACGTCCTTCTGCGCCGAAATGGAGGTACGTAAGGTTGGAACCGTGACATGAAGTTGGACTGCCTTGTCAAAGCATGGGAGAACCTTACTGATTGTTACCTTCTAAGAGCGCCGTAATTTCTCGTAACCTACAAAAAAGGAGAATAAAAGCTCAGTACTATTAGAAATCTCTCAAGAACAAAAGCAGGCAGTCCTCTATATTTCCAGGCTGATTTTTAAAGAACACAGGTAAAAGGAAAAAGAAGAAAGAAGAACAACCCGAGGCAGAGGCTTATTTAATCTCTTTGTCACATCTTCATCGTCGTCGTCATCATCTTTGTTCATAAACATTCGGTTAATTGCAGAGCTATCTGATTTCTTTCCACGCTTAGATGGTTGCGTAGAGCCTCTACCTCTCCCCCTTGGTGCAGCCCTTTTCCGTCCTCTACTTGGAACAATTTCATCATTTTCCTTCAATAATTGAAACCATATTATCTTATCAAATGAGTAGCATAAACAACATTGATTCGGTTTATGGAACGTGTAAACATGCAAAATTATTTAATGGTTGGCACAAGGCAAAAGGAGGTTGTGTGTTGGACTTAAAAAAAAAAAAAAAAAAAAAAAAAAAATCATATGAAAGAGCTTCGCCAGTCAATTGACAGTAACTTAAGAACAGCCCGGATTTTCATTAGCTATTACTGATTTAATGCCAAAACTCAGTTGAAAAAGAAGGTAATCCATACCGAACTATTATCAACCTCATCAATTCCAAGTTTCCCTGCCTCTTCTTCACTCGAAGGAGAATCCACATCATCCCCATCATCAGCAATACTTCGTACAGCGGCAGTTGCAGCAACTGATGCAGATCTGCAGTAATTATATTAGCTAAGATACAAAACTGGGAACATGAATGTCTCGACTAGTTAATGCAATATGAACCAAACGTGTAGCAGACTTCTAACTGCTTGCAATTAGCTACTTAGAATACATCCTAATAAGTCATGATTTTGCAATGTCAGAACTTGTTTTCTTGTCTAACCGGAGTTGGTTTCTTAGTAAGAAGGCTGCGTTAGTTGTGTTCTTGGGATTTTACATTAGTTCTTTGGCATCCTAATTGCTTCTTTAATTGTGTTTATTAGTTCACATCAGAGTCAACGACAATGACATATACAGAATGAAATTGAACTGTCACATAGAACAGCAATAAGGACAAACAAGGAAGGAATCCCCAGTTAGCAACGCTACCCGTAGGGCACAGAAAAAGGATACCATGTAGATATTTTTAACTGAAAACATTAGTAAATACAGAAAACAGAAAAACTAACTTGTAATGGAAAAGATAAAGTCCTATAAAGGTTAAGGGTACTATTTGCATTTTGTGGTAGACTTTAATGTTGAATACCAGAGAGAATCATGACAAATATCATGCAGTTGGAGGATAAAGTTTTGCAGCTATATTTGTTCCTACATATTTCTCTCTTACACCTCTAAAGCAACTAATTAAATTGCTGGTTATTAATTAAGTTTTAAAATGAAGTGGCCGCTTAATTGATTGAATATCTTCTCAAACTTAGGTCAAAGAAAAACCTCTGAGAAGACCGAAATCCAAGAGATGCATCGAGAGTCGTCTGCTTCAAGGTACTGGTACCCCTGCCCCTGCCTCTGCCCCTTCCTCTTGCAGTAGTTTTACCCTTACCAACTTCTGAGGTAGACGTTCTGCCCTTGCGGCCTCTGGCAGTGGATGTTGAGCCAGTCATCTGCGTTGCATCTTCATCGTCACTGAAGGAAACTGCACTTGCAGTTCCAGCAGCACTTGTACTTCTGAAATCCTACACGAAGAACAATAGCTTAAAAATGAAAATAGTAGGCACATGTATCAGCCAAAAAATTCTGAAATGGATGCAACGCAGAAAAGTGATGCAAATTCTCGAAAAAAGCAGATTAAAATCAGAATTACCTCCCAAGGAGGGGCAGTGGATGAGAATGGAGAGTTACTCTTAGAGTTCGTAGGTCTTTCCTTGACACGTTCCTGCACTTATAACATAAATATTTGGTCAGTGTATGGAAGCAAGCCCTCATTAATTTCCATAGTAATGCTTAAGGCCACAACAGGGTGAGATGCATGAGGGAAAGTAGCTCCTTAAAACCTAAAAATCCCAAATTCAAGACTTCTATGTTTTTTCTTTTATGTCAAAACTGCCTACAATTATGATCAATGAATTGCAAACTTTGAATCACGTATATACGTTTTTCCCATATCTAAGAACTAAAACCAAACTCTATGAAATTAGTACAAGAGGTCTCAGTCGACTGCTATGCATTTTGGGCCTAGATGTCTCATTTCAAATCCCAACGACAGCCCTGAAGGCCCCATCAGGGCAAAATAATTGTCCATGAAACTGACTAGAATAGGGTAACACAATCACTGATGAAAGAAAAATATTTGAAATTTAATCATTCTTGCCTGCAAGCACTCCCCGACTTTAACTATTAAATCTTCCTCTTCAAATGTCACTGTATCTGGATCCTTAGCAATTTTCTTCTGTAGAAGTAGAAAAGAAAATTGTCAGTAACATACTTCAAAAGAAAATACAATAGCTAGTTGAAACTTTAATTTAAACAGAGCAAGTACTCACTCGAGTTTCTTCAAGATTGTACTTCACGCAAGAATAGAAAGCCATTTTGTCATCCTTACTAACAAAATTGTGCAATGCAACATCCAAATCATTGACAGGAAGGATCTCCATTTTCTGCATGATCAGATATCCCCATGAGGGTTTAACCTTAAAATAAAATTTACAAGCTGTAAACCTGTAAGTAATTGTAATGTCGTCTACAATATTTTTCCACATGACTTCCATTTTAGCAATAATCCAAAAAATAAATCATATCCTGGAATCATAAACCCTTACTATGATGGCGAAGGACAAAAAGAACCAAGTTTCAATCACGTTAAGTTTTCCACTGATAATGTTTTCCATAAGTAAGTTGAGGTGTATGTTTCTGAGCAAATTGTGGAACTGTTTATCCGCGAGAAACTAACAAAACTCTATTCTGTATAAAACAAATCCAGAGTTCCACTGGATGAAAAGTACTATATGCATGATAATCTGAGTACAGGAAAGAAGGAATATGACAGCTGATACCAGATTATTTTCCGCAACCAAAGCCTCTATGTTTTGCTGATTTAGTTCTTCCGGGCGAAGCCGTTCAGAATCATCAATTTTAGCTACAATAAAAGATAAGAAATAATTAACTGAAAATCTGTGAATATATGAATTCTAACATTTAATGGACTTCAGAAATAGCTCTGACTGTAACGAAATCCCCGAGTAACAGAGTCTACTGTCGTAGTGATGTCAGAACTGAACTTCCCCTACATGGTGAGAATTTATTTAAAGTCTCATCAAGTTTTATTACCATCACTTTTGTTTGAGATATAACACAACTGTAGCTAATGTATGTGAAAGTCTTTAGACTGATGCCAGCACTAAGATTTAAATTGTGGGCAATCTGTTAATCTAATGGACCTATGAGGTTAATATATTGGAAATCTCATAGGTGAGGTCATACTGCACCAAGCTTTTTGTTATTCAAAAATTAAGTGAAGTGTTGGAACTTATAAGATGGTATAAAAACAAACACTCAACCAATGCAAAATCCACTACTGTTGAAGCTTTTGAAAATTTGTGATAATAAGTACCTTCGCTCCGGCCCTTTGTTGAAGCTTTTGAAAATATAAGAATGTCTTGTGGGTTTGCAACCTTAAAGTCATTACAATAGCAATGATTTATTTCCAAAATGTGATACGAGAAAAATTAGCAGTAGAATACTGATCTAGGATTAGTGAATGTACCTTCCCCACATACTTCTGTCCAAATCTTTGAGGATTTATTGTCATAAATCCAGAATAGTCCACCTGCCAATTGTTCCATTGAAGTTATACGATCACATGGAAGGGGAGGTTGAGGTTACATTGGGTAAAAAAGAGAACATCCATATGTACACAAATACTTGTAGATCGGAAGCCAAGGCATGGGATAGGAAAAAGGCCTAGAGATGTGAGGATGCATATATGAGGATCACCATCATAATACCAACATCTTAAGTTAAATTGGGGATATTACCTTTATTCGAACTAGTGGAAGTTGGGGCTGTGATCCGCTAACATTTTTCCTAGATTTCTCTATCTGAGCGTTGACCTATGGAAATTCAAATCTATACTATTAATATACAGCACATGCATCAGAGGGCATAATACAGGGAAAAAAGAAAGGCATGGGAAAGTACAACAGTCCGATATTACTTGCAATTAGACTTACCACTTTGTCCAAGTGTTCAAGAATTGAATTAGGATCATTGGGATCAATTTCAGGTTCATCTTTTAATACAATCTGTAGCAGAAAAAATATATTATTAATCAAAAGTTTTAATGTAGAAGAAAACGTAAGCATTAAATCACCTCTGTGTACTCAAAAGGCCTCACTGACGTCAAAGGAATCTTGGTTGGACGGTATTGATTCCCCTGCATAAAAGTATAACAGCATCCAACTCAGTTTGGGAGGAGAAAGGATCAAAAGATGCTGCTTGCAGGAAAAAAAAAAAAGATCTAACATTGTTTTGCAACCTTAATTTCTAAAAGGAGCACATGCTTTGGCTTTGATTCTCCGTCAATCAGTGATGTTGCAACAGAAGAACCAGGTTGTGTAATGTGAAATCCCATCCCCGGAACTTCCTGTCAGAAACAAAATCATGTAAAGTCGTGTAAGGCACCCTCCCAACAAGACCAAAACTACGCACCTAGAGACAGATGCACGTACACACTCAAGCTTGCATGCACAAGCATGCACATGTCCATGTTGCATATATTGATAAAGCAATATTCATTGGCACCTGAGGGTCCACGAGGCATTCGTGTTCATGCCCCCACACTACGAAGTCTAGGAAGCGTGGTAAAAAGTGCTCATTGATGGCATTTTTTGGGTTTGTCTTCACTCTGCACACAAAATTATATAACTTCGTAACTAGGAAGATTGACAACTTAAATCAAATGAAACCATGTTATAAATCGGGATTCCTCCTTAATGATGATTAATCCAATTTCACCCACCCACCCACACACCAAACCTGTTCTGATGAAGCACTAGAATGTTGAACCAGTCTGACACTTCCAACCCTTCTTGAGATTCAGGTCTCATCCATTGTACAGCATGTGGTGTCTAACATATGAATAATATGCCCAACAAATATGTGTTTAGAAGCCTGCAAATAAACAGCATAAAGCAAATTCTCAACATCAAATACCTGAAACATTCTATTGAGCCGTTCATCTCTAATATTTCCAAGACCATAAAGAGCCACTGATGTTGCACCCTGCAATTCAGGAGGAGTTATGCGCCATGCAGCACAAAGACAAAAACCCTCTATTCACCAAAAGAAGACATTAGATCCTCCCAATCCTACTATTAATTAAATCCATAAACTAACCTTCCTCATGAGAATAGGATACACAGTGATCTGACCAACCCCAGAACCCCCAAGACCCATTTTCCCAAAATAGTTTACAAGGTTGCACGCTGAGAGAATATCGACAGCAGAAAGATTATCCTGCCAATAACCACAATGTTAAGAAGTACAGATACATGGTACTTAAAACAGCTGTAGCAAACACATTTCAAAATATTGATAAATACCATGCATGAGCATACGAAAGAGGGGGTCCTTGCTCCTCTTTTTGGCAATAACATAATTGCTATTTAAAACATATCCCTTTTCTTCCCAGCGATAGCCATTAGCCTATTGTACCCTCCCTCTCCATTTTTAAATACCCCCTCTCTTTTCCTCTCTTACAGTAATTGGATATAAAATAACAGAACTGGTAAGCTTATGGCCCATTTTTGGGGGTCATCTTTTCATGGGTTCAAGGACTGGTCACATTAGATGCAGCTTACTCCAAAAGATAAACATGTTTTTCTTGATATTTTAACAAGACCATTCAAATGATCAAATCCTTTACTAACTGTAAATCTATATACTTAGAAAACACATAACTACAGCAAATGGTATGTCTGAATTTGCTGACAAGCCTAGTAAGTTATAAGTTTCTTTCTTGTAGGAATCGATAGAAAGCTGATGAGGATTCTAAGCTCAATCCCCTGGAAACTTGAACCCTTTAATTACAACCAACAAGCTTGACCAGTGAGCTATATATGATAACGAATTTGTGTAAAAAAAATCTTAAAACATGGTGCTAAAAATGATTTCTGATGAGAAACATTGATAATGTTTTAAAAAGAAATGAAAGGGCAAATACGCAAACAACTTCACTGATAGAATCCATACCACTCCAGCAGGGTCGTCATGATTTCCATGGATACTAAACACTGGCAATCCAACATTGAAGTGAGGATCTTCATAATTTACATGACCAAATCTGTTAGAACAAGAATTTTGTTATTAACAGAAGGGTGCCTATCATCCTTATCATAATATATCTCTAATTTTTTACAGAAAGTCAAGGTTCCTGATACAAACTTGGATGCAAAAACACATCAGAGTGACATATCATTGCAGCAAAAATTCCGTATTTCTCCATTTGCTAAACTCATGGCATTTGAACCAAATGTCAACTTAGACATATCATTGCAGTAAAAATTCCAAGCAAACAACAAACGTGCAGTTCATTAATTATGTGCAGTTCATTAACTACATACGTATTTGGAAAATTCACAGTCTGGTCGCTAACAACTTGGAACTGCACTGGCTGATCATTGAGGCAATGACGGCGGAGAATCTCAATGGCCTTAACTAGTGTTGACCTTGAAGGCTTATTCTCATGGAACAGATCACCACCCAGAAGCAAAAAATCCACCTGATAGAGGATAAATGCCAAAATGTGTTGGTTCACAGACAGTATAAGGAAACAGTTTCAATCGAAAAGAGCTTTGCAATACTGTATTTCTCCAAATGTGGACACAAAATTGAAAGGAATTAGAGAACGGGAATCAAACCACAATTGCAAAGTTGATTTGCATGGAGTGAGACTACAAATACAGCTAGAATGAAAAATTGGCTATTACATTCTTTTGTTGTGCTATTGAGCATATCTCATCAAATGCCTGGAACGAATCATGGCGCCGTACTTCATCCTTCTCCATATAACCCAGATGGCAATCCGTAGCAACAAGTATTCGAAGTGTATTACTAAAATCCTCCCTGAAAATTGTTTCATTGAAGGTAAAAATCGGAAAATACCATTTGCCCCGAAAATCTGAATACATATTGCAGAGAAATGTACCTTGACAAGTCACCCATACTGACAGTTGATACTTTTTAACCCTACAACTTGTCGAAACCACAGACTGTTATGATCATAAAATCCCCCGATTTCGATTAGAATTTGATTTTACTAACGCCGGCATTTCCACCAATAACAATTCAAAATCCAAACAATTGAAAGCGAAAAAAGGATCAGAATTTACAGTTCAAGGAAAGCATTTGCTACAAAGGTTGAAGTAAATTAAACCTCCCAGCATGCAACTTTCGATATCGAAAAAATTCAAAAATCTCAAGTCGAATACTGAAAGCCGAAATCCAAAACCCCTAAAACGCAGTGTTTTAGCAGCACAAGAACACAAAATCGAACAGAGTAAATACGGAAAAGAAAAAAAAAATCAGAGTGAAAGTTCCATTCCCTAGTTGCTGATGAATTTTGTGAGTACAAATTTCGAACCAAAAATTAAAGTACTACAGTAAGCGATTCAACGAATTCGGTAGTCAATTACCGAGTTCTTTTTTTTTTTTTTTTTCCTTGTTTTTTTTCTCGGGAAACAAACAGTCGATATAGCGAGAGGTGATTACCTGTCTTATGGTGTTGTCAATACGACTGCGAGTGCGAATGCAGAAGCGGATTCGGCGAAGCTTTGCGACCGGAAAAGGGAACGGTGGCGGGGAATTTTGAAAGAGCGATGACAGTGGAAACAGAGAAGAAAGGTACGTTGACACTGTTTTTCAGCGATTTACGTACCAAAGTACTCTTGCTGTTTTCAGCTATTAACAATTGTGGCCTAATTTTGGTTTTGTATATTGGGCTGGATCTCTGGTTTTGGATTGGGCCAAGTCTCTGGTGACATGAAGGGTGATCTGATGGGCCACCACCAATGACACCACCACCTTGTCATGACCATCGTCAAACGCCTTCCACCACCACCACCCCTGTTTCTGCCCAACCACCATCACCGCCACTACCAACTCGTCACAACCATTATCACTCCAACCTCACCTAGCGATGAGTCAATGATCGCTAGTATCAGAAATCCCACCACCTCTGCCATCACATTTCCATGATCATATTTACAACTCCATCAAAATCCATATATTTATAACTTCATAGTATATAAAAGTTAATTAAATTCATACATTTATAAATTCATCAAGATCTTTTAAAATCTTTGTTCAATCCACCCCTTAGAAATAGTTGACACATACGTAAGTGATAGACAAAATATATTAAGAGAAGTCTCTTTGTTAATCAAAGAAGAGAGACTTATATGTAATTAGTATACTGTCATCAAGATGTATTGGTATGAATTAATATTATGTATAATTTGACATCGAATTTAAAACTTGAGTAACTATGAGCTAAAGAGAAAATCTCTCACCACCATGAATTAATATTATGTAATTTGAAAGTTCAAGAGACAACTTTAGTTGGCATGTACGTGGGTACTACACATAAATTTTACAGTTTTTTACGCATTTTTCCTCTCCCACAACCAACCCTGGTTTGGTTCCCTCAATTAGTTAAAGATAGCATTGAGAAGCGTCCGTACAATGATATAGAAATGTCAAATTAGATTATATTGACCAAACAACCCAAGTCCTTGGAAACAAGTGAGGAGAACTCCAGAAATCCTCTAATCATATATGTTCATCATACATCGTGCAGTCAATTTTCGTCAGGTACTGTTTATATTTAATTTTAAATAAAACGATTTATAATAATTTATGACCACACAATGTACGATAAACATATGTAATTGGAGGATCTCCGAGATTCTCATAAAGAAGATCCGAAGAGGATCATCATTCCTTGAAATATTATTCATTTCAGAAGTAGCAATTCTTGTCCATCCTTATTGGGAGTTACAAGTCTTATACTGTGTCTTCGTAGCTAACCACTTGGTTTCTGGTTATGCATGGCTCCTATCGATCAAAAGAAAGAAGATATATAAAACCAAGAGAAGGAGATTAACTTCAAGACAGAAGATATATAAGAGAGGGAAATTGAGGGCCACTTTGGAATTGCTATGATTTTTTTTTTAACTACTTATAATGTGTTTTAAGAATAATCAGCTGTAAAATAAAAGCATTTGAGCGTTTGGTAATGTATAAAGCAATGTAAAAGCACTTGATAAATTTTAGTGTAAAAGAGTTATAATTGTATATAACAACAAAAATGAACATGGTAGTGGGGTTAGTGGAACTAGCAAGGACAGTGGTGGTGGTGGCAGCAACAAAGGTAGGGGGTATGGTGGCAATGCTAATAGTGGTGTGTGGTGGTTAGGGTGTAGAGGTAACAATGGTGATAGGAGGAGTCGCGGCATTAGTGGAAGTTCTTGTGGCAATGGTGGCGGCTATGGTCATGGCAAGTATAGCGGCAGTGGCGACAACAATGGTGGATGTGGTGGTGGTGGTGGTAACGATAGTGATCGCAATGAAGGTGGTGCCGGTTGTGATGGAGGTGGTGGCATTATGGTTGTGATGATGTTGGTAGCAACAATGGTTGTGGTAATGGGAGTGGTGGTGTAACGTTAGTATTTGTAGTGATAGGTGGTGGCGATCACTTTGTTCTCCAATAGATAAAATGTTGGTAGTGTTGGAAATGTGCCCTAAAACCAATCATATGATGATACTTTACGGACATTTCAAACTAATGTAGTTTAAAGGGCAAAGATTATTGTTTGAGCCGTCTAATATAAATGTTATATGCTTAAACGATAAGTCCAAGGAATATGTGATTGGAAGAATGTGATCTAAAGAAGTTAGATTCATGAGACCATTCTTTCGTTGACACATCCTAAACGTTCCTGATCATAGGATTGTCAATTGGGCATTGACAGTCCGTTAAGATCAGTACGTGCTATGTCTTCTCTCAGGGAGAGTGACTAGTCTCGAGTCATTGGTGTGTGTGACATCAAGACAAGTACGTAGGTGCTCAATAGAGAATGAGTTCACTGAACACGATCAACGAAGAGTTCTCATATTCATGTCACATGAGAACTCATGGTTGGGATAATGCAAATTAGTCTTTTGACCTGAGGCATCACAGTTGTCTTGTGGTTAGGTCCTTAATCTTTGATTATGTCAACGTCACTCTATCAGGGTCTCCACGGCATCGTTGGGGTTAAGCTACTTAGCCATGGAGGCAAGTGAATGCGCAACAAGGGATCTCTAACCTTCAAACTGTTTGAGGGAGAATACTCTATGATATGATTTAGAATCTCTGGCCAGAGTATGAATGAGATGTTGGAATGCGTTCCAGATCACATTCAAGGTAATCATATAAGTACAAAGATTCACATTGGATAGTAGACATGAATAAACTATCAAACCAAACAATGTGGTCAAGAGTATTGTATTAGAGAAAGACCGTATTGCATTTGTAATCCTAAACTGAATAGGTTCTCCACCTCTTCTGATTAGCTTGGGTAACCATGATATGCTGCTAGGTGTCACTCATGGTTTGTGGAAGCCCTAAAAGTGTATTATCACTAACGGGAGAATTGAAAGTAAGTTTCAATTCACAATCGATTTGAAAGAGTTTGAATCGCCCACTGCCTCGCTAAAAGGAACCTAATGGATCGTACACCGTGTAAGGTAGAGTTTGAAGATTCAACGGAGATGAGTAAGAATAATTAAATGGTTTAATTATTTATGGCAAGGATTAATTAATATGATTATTAATCAAACGAATAAGTTCGTTGAAGACCTCGGGATAGTTTTGGACCTTAAGGCCCAATGGGCTTCGAACGTCAAGTCCATTGACTTAAGTTGTATGACAACTTAATGAATAATGATTCACAAAGGCCCAAATAGCCCAATTAATCCCCATAGGCCGGCCATTTAGAGGAGGGTAGTGAATTTGGCTTAATTGCAAGTTTGCCACTCCATTGTGAGGTGGTATAAAGACATCTTTATAGCCATTTCATCCTTAGGGTTTTCTAGGGAGTAAAGATGAGAACACAAACCTCCCTTTGCTCTCAAAGAGGCCGGCCAATCTAGAGGGGAATAGCTAGCAATCTTACTTCCTCTAGGTCACTCATTTCTTCTACAATATACCTTGGTGTGGAGACTTAGAGGTTCTCAATTTTGGGAACTTGGAGAAACCTTTTCATCCATCCAAATCCATGGATCCAAGATGCAAGGAATGAAGGCCCTCTCTTTGGGTGATTAGCCTTTGCTTATGCAAAAAGGAATCTATAAAGGTATTGATTTCTCAACTCACTTTGTTTTGAGTTGAGTCTTGATTCACCTATCTACTAGGCTTTGAATTTCATGGGTAAATGTTTTGTTTTAAGTGCATACAAGCATGATTCCGCCTTTAATTGTTAATTGCATGCTATTGATGTTGCTTAAATGAACATGTTTTTCACAAATTTTCCTTCAGGTAGAAGGTTAAACAATGTCATTTTTAAAACTAATAAGGGTAATGCAGAAATTGAATATACTCATTAAAGGATTAGCTCCACTTTTTATTAAAACAACTTTTAAAGCAACCTATTGTTGTAAACTTTCCTAGTTTATATGTGATTGTGTAATTTCTAGATTAGGTTTGATTCTAGTTATCATTTCCTCTTACAACTTGTATTTCTTGGGATGAAGGAATTTCTTCTCTCCTTTACTACTATAAATAAAGGCACTATGTAAGAGGGATAACATACACATTCCCTTACAATTCTACAAACACATCTCTCTCAATCTCTCTTTTCCTTGCCACCAGCCCCCTTACCCTTGTCAGATAAAATAGGCTACAACACGTTATAAGCACACTCCTACCACTGCGCTTAGGAATTTGATGAGGAAATTTTCTGCATCAAACCAATTCATCCATATCATCACACAATCAAGTTCTTTCAAAACAACGATTTTTATCTCGATATTTTTGCAACCTTAATAGCATGAACATTCACCATAATGCATGACCCAACTTTACGTTTTTTGAATTTTAGATTCTACATAAATTGTGCATGCATTATATTCCTAATTCTTGAATTATGTGAATTTGATATTTTCCATGAATTGCGTCAATATATGTACATGCATTAAACTATTGAATTGAATATGCTTTGAATTGAATTGTATATGAATTGAATTGAAAAATAAAAAATAAAAATAAAAAAAAACAAGAAAAATTGAAATTGAAAATGGCAACCTGGGTTCTTCGAACCCATGCCCTCATGCCATTGAACCAAGCCTACAGCTTTGGAGACCGAGCCAAGCCGGAGCCATGGGCTCCTGGTTTAAAACCCAAAACAGACCCAACGTCATCCATGGTGTCTCCTTCCCTTATAAATGGGCTTGCAGCCCAATCCTGACCTTGGGTCCTCGTCCGATGACCTGCAGATCGTCTTCTCCCCCCCCCCTAACGAGTTGTTTGGCCAAGATTCGTTTTGAATCTCATCGGTTTTTCTTCAAAATTCCGATTAATTTTCCTAGGGTTTTAAAAATGTTGAAAGTCACCACTATCCGTTTACCTTATGGGTCGCCATCAAAACCACGATCATTTACCATGAGTTTTGCACCAAGACACGACCACCTGAAGTTGTACCGCTGGTTATCCTTTTCGGCGAAACTCACCCAACACACGCTAGGGTGTTTGATCCAAAACCCAAGCCTTTGGGCTTGGCCCATTCTCGGTGATAACTCCAGCCTGTTGGGCTTTTGAGCTCCCCTTAACCTAATTGTTTTCCCCTGGCCTGCAAAGAAAAACAAACATTTTTTTTGGGCTTGCCTGAAGCGGCTAGTATGGAAATAGAAAACAAGGACAAGAAAGACAAAAAAAAAAAAAAAAAAAAAAAAAAAACACTTTTTTGTCTTGTTTTTGGGCTTGCCTACAGCAGCCCATCTCTCTGGCCGATTCTCACCGTGGCCTTACAGTACCACCCAAGCCCAATTTTTTTGGGGCTGGGCTACCCGGTCTGAGATTTTTAGCCCACCCTTGGGCTTAGGCCTTTTTTTGGGCCAAAAGTTTATTTGCCTACTATTTTAGGCCTCAATGGGTTTTATATTTCTTTTCACCCAGACTTTAAATTTGGCCTGAAGTCTAAATAATTAATTCAATTCTAATTATAGACCCAAAGTTCTATTTGCATATTTTCTTGTTGCATATTTTTGTGTATATATTTGCGTTTATCCGGAGGAACATATGAACCTGAAGTTCATTATTATTTTGAAACTTGAAGTTTCTATAAACATGTCTTGTTTGAAAGCCTAAAGTTTTCATTAAACAAAACATCACCCATGAAAACCCAAAGTTTTTTCATGCGAATCTTAACCAATACATGTCTATTAGAATATGAATGTTCTACTCCTATGTGAATGGATTGATTTTTTTCTCCATTACATTAACCACATCTTGTCCATTTATTTTGTGATAAGAACATGTCGAATTTGAACAAACTCGACTTCACAACTTTGGAAGGAACTACCTCAAGTGGGTCCAAGATGTGAAGCTTCATCTCACTACAAAGAACTTGTGTCCCGTTGTTAAAAAAGAGACAGACAATCCCATTGGTGAAGCTGAGAGCCACTGTTATGATCTTCATCCGAAGACATATTCATGATACCTTACAAGCCAAGTACCTTGCTGAGGAAGATCCATGTGCACTATGGGTCGATTTGGCTGATCGTTTTGATCACCAAAAAGACATATTCTTGCCTGAAGCAAGACATGACTAGCAGCATTTATGCTTCCAAGATTGTAAGTGTGTGAATGAATATAATTATGAAGTTTGTCGAATCTGATCATTTCTCAAGTTTTGTAACGAAATTTTGACTGAAGAGGATGTCCTAAAGAATACCTATTCAACTTTCTATAGTACTAATATTGTCCTGCAACAACAATATAGAGCTCAAAAGTTCACTAAGTTCTCGGATTTGATCTCTATTTTACTTTTTGCTGAAAAACTGAACCAGCTGTTGATGAAGAATCATAAGCTTAACGTATTGGGGCGACTACTATGCCTAAAGCACATTATAGCACAAACCAACACCCAAAACACCAAAAAAGGCGTGGTAAGGGTGGCCAGAAGCCATCCCGCGAAAGTTAACAGAGTTAAGGCCCATCTAAGGGGGAAACAAAGCCCAGAAGCGCTCAAACCTTGCTCCAAAGGCCCCGAACTTCAAGAATAAAGGCAAAGCACCTAAAACCATGCATGCAAATATGTGTTATCGTTGTGGTTCAAATGACCATTGGTCCCGTGTTTGCCGAGCTTTCCGGAAGGTTATAGCTAAATATCATTCTTATCGTAAGAAGTTCGAATAAAACTTCGTGCAAGTGGACGAACAGGAGACTACAAAGATGAAGGTTTCTGACTTTCAAGAGGATACCACCCCTATGGAAGATTAGAATCTTAGACATAAACTATTTTTTTAGTTAAAATTACACAAAGGGGCCAAATTCCACCTAGTGGCCGAACCCACCCTTGTTTTTTGGTTGAGTTTGGAACACTTTTCCTTTATGTTTAAATTATTTGTTGGTGATTTGTTTTGGATATTAAGTTTTAATTAATTACCATCCTTGAATAAAT